ACGTCGTTTTCAGATTGCTAAGGGTCGTATTATCGAGTCATGACTGTATTAGCAAAAAAATGTCTGTGATTAATTAGTTGTAGTGTGTAAAGTGCAAAACAGATTGAGATAATATTCACCGTAGCTGGAAGTAAACAGGCAGGTTCCATTTGTTGTGGAAGCTGGTATATGAGGGGTGCACTCTTAGTCTCTTTACACTGGCCTGCGAGCTGCACTGTCGCTCAAACTTCCGCACAAACTCCATACTGATGCTGTAACGCTGGAAAAGACAAAGAGATGACAGGTGCACTTACATGAAACTACACAATCAAACCTTGAACTATGTGACTTGGAAAAAGCATGCATGCACGCTTCAACTGTGTTACTGTGGCTGTACCTCATAGAATATGTCAGGGTTTCCAGGGTTGAAGAGATAGGCCAACCTTTCCTCTATTCCTTTAATCATTTCCGGCCACACAGAGTTCACCAAGAAATCGTAACCTGGTACTGTGTCAGCTTTGTCACTGAGAAGAAAGAGAACGTTTAAAATATGTTATACTTTCCACACGGACCAACCTTTGATTCATTTTATGTGCATAATCTAGCAGCAGTATTTGTCATTTGTAAAGAAAAGCCACAGCAACTGTCATGTACCTGACACTTTCATGAAAGAAAACCTACTGAGGAAATGATTCACAGCAAATATATAACTATATTTTTTCAATAAAATAAATTAAAATCCATGTGTAAAGAGAATCGCACGGCCTAATCAATATGCTCAATAGCACAACAGATGAAAGCAAACAATTTGCTTTTCTAATAAAGGCAACAGGATTCGAATGAGAACAAAGGGCTCCTTGATCTGTGAATGTTTTGAATGAATATGCCTCCATGATAACATGAATACCTGGATATGGCTCCTCCGGTCACCTCTCTGAGCAGTCTGCAGTGGTGGGGAACAAACTCCAACAGTCTGGAATACATCAGCTGGAGGCCACTTGGATTGGATTTCACTACTTCTTCAATTATCACCTAAAAGGAGAACACAAGGTAGGATTTTTAGGGGAAGACTCATCTTGATTAGTAATTTGCTGCAATTCGGTTCAAGAAATTCGCTGTTTACATCGTACAATATGCTTCTATGTTAATCATTACATAATACTTCTGCCATTAACATGAGTGTTAGTCATTTGGGTTGTCTAGGCAAATGTAAAGAAAATGACTAATGGTAAGGCAATTAAATATTATATTAGACATTTCACAACATTTACATTTTTTTATTGAATCTACAAACATGCTCACCTGGTCCATGTAAGGTTTGACCAGCACTTGTCCTACCAGGGCTTCAGCATCTCGAGTCTTGTCTATGGTTGCATAAGTCCTCAGGCAGTGACGCACCATGTCCACGTTAGACGTCTGCAGGCCCTCAATCAGCAGCCCCTCCAGAGACTGCTGCAGCATAGACGTGATCCCTGCAATACGCTGGCAGAGGACATCCAACAGAGTGAGATATAGTGAAAGTGTTTTCTGTAGAATCAGCGTAGATCATAGAACAGATGTGTTAGTTTTTGAAACAAAAGAGCACTTAGCACGTCTTTAGAAGGACTGATTATCTTTGTCAGATAATTATGACGGATTGACAGAAGAGCAGCCAGTCAGACAAACTGATTGACTGACTGAGTGGCTCTTGATGTATCAGCTGTCTGACTGATCGGCCCACTAACACTTACTGGTCTGACTTTGTCCAGCAGGGGCATGCCTTTGCTCTGAACAGCATGGAACTGCAGCTGGTTGAATTCTGTGGCAATCCTCTCCAGGATCTGACCTGCTAACAAAGGACTGTACATAGACAAAGACACAGTCAGTCAGAAGTCTGAGTCACAAACATTATGTCCATGCAATGACCAAGCTCAACAAATTTTAACTTCTGATGCATGTAAGCACTTAGGCTATATCACTGAGACTCTATTTTACTGTTTGGCTGTTCACATAATGTTTAAAATGTGGCCAAGATCAAATTCTGGTTACAGTCCTGAACTAAAGAACAATGACAAATACATAGCATGCTGTCATACCAACATAAACATGGGGACCAATGAAGTCAAGATTTATGGTTTCATTTAGAAGTAAATGTGCAGCTGAGGCGGCCAGCAAACTGGAGAGCAGATGATGACAATGATACAGACCAACAGAATCAAATCTTTGATTGAGTCTTTTTGTGGAGCAACAACTACTACTCCTGTGCGGAGGTGTGGTTCGATGCAGAGTTTGGGCAAGCAGTGGTGGGACTGTAAGGGAATTTCATCACTAAAAACATCAGGACGTCAAGGGCTACTTTTGACTACATTTGTCAGTGAGCTCAATTCAGGCGACCCATTTCCCTGATAAAGTTTGTAGATGTGGGTTGTACTGGCTGACAACTGGGGCATGTAACTACACACTGTCTAACCTGCAGGGTACTGAAAAGTCCTCTGTTTGCTTGGTTCACCCACCAGTGTAGAACTGTGACAACTGTCGATCAAGAATGATGTAAAAGTTGCACGAATTCTAATATGACTGTTCACACCGAGGTGGCATCGCAAGAACTGATCCCATGTGATGCTGCTGTGAAAAAAGACCAACAGATCTGAGACCAGTGGTTGGATTAGAGTGTCACTCCCCACCTGCTGATTTCCAGAGAGCTGGATTCCTTGGAGTTCTGTGAGTGGAGGATTTTCTCGATCTTCTCCACTGAGCGTACGACCTGGATCAACCTCAGCACGCACACCTGATGGATGATGATGATGATGATGATGATAATGTAAAGAAGATGATCATTTAAAATTTGTCTAGAAACTATTTGCTATTGCACAAATGCAGCTGCTTGTTATTCTTTACATTAAAAGATGGAAAAGTAGTCTGACTATGAAATAATTCAAAAACAGGTTAATCATCTGTAAAGCATCACATACAGCTTGTAACATGACGCTCACAAGTTGGCACGGACATGCCACACATAAGAGAGTATGGTAAAGATTAACACAAATATATTTAATTACAAATGCAAAACTCAGTATGAACAAAGCATTTTCAGGCAGCAAGAAGAGGAGTCAAACCTTCTTTTTCTGCAGGTCTTCCTGTTTGGACAGCTGGTTGTCTATAGCCTGGATCACTTCGCTGACACAGGACCGAAGACTCTGCAATAAACAACAACAAACATGCATAAACACTTTATGGTAGGAATCAATCGAAGTTTATATTATATATAAACTTGTATAATTATTCAGGGAACATACCATAACCTCCTCCCGTAACTGTCCTAAAGGCACAGAAAGCTGATTGAGAGCTTTGTCCATCCCCACCTGAGACAAGAGAGCAGAGGTCAGATTAGAAACAGTCTAAATTCAAGTAACAGCTTTCAGGAAATGGAAATGGCGTAATGCATTTAGCTTAACTGCTCAAGAACATATTAGGAACTCCATCAGCACTGTATTTTTAATACTGATGATGGTATTGATGCTAGAAAAATAACAACTGGCTAATATTCTTTATTTCTCTTCTTTTTTTGCACATAACATAAATAAATATTCAGCAAAATGTCTCTCTGCTGATTATAATATAGCTGAAATAATAAATCTTTTTAACGTTTAGTCAAAAACACAAAGATATTTAAAAGAAAAGCAGAATATTCTTATGTTTTAGAAGCTGGAACCACCAAACAGTTGCCATTTTTGCATAAGAATGATTTAAACAAGTAATTAATTATCAAAATTAATGGTCTGTTTATTGAAAAATCAGTTAACTGAGAAGATCTAATATCCAACCACATCCATACTGTTAAAGTTGTATGAGTGATGTACAAATAACTACTGATAAATATAAGCTATAGCTCAAGTTTGACAAAATACAACAATAGTATTTTAGCCACTGTACAGTAAAGGTCAACAGTGTCTCCTCTAGGATTTTTTTCAGCAGCGGGGGCAGCAGGCTGTCCAGGAGCCGTGGAGACGTAAACAAATTAAATTTGACTGCAGATTTTCCTTTTACAACCTATTTATTGAATGTCCAGTTGAAAATGGCTTTTTAAAGGCCAAATGTAAAACGTAAAAGAATGAAAAATAAAACAATAAAATTAAATAAATAAAAATAAAAAACAATAAATAAGAATTTCTTGATGGGGCTGTAGAATCAGTGGCAAAGTTCGCACCAGGCTCAGAACCAGTCAGAACAGTCCTTTATCTTAGTACTCGCCAGTAATTAACGTCGTATTAAGCTCTCAAAGGGCAAATACTGAACAAGATAATTAACGTCACCTGAACACCCCAAAGAGTAGATACTGAACACGATAGTTATGTGTAGTTTACCGTAGTACTCGCAAGTACCAGGCCCAGATGCAGGACTGTGCTGTAAAGGTGGAGACATGCAGCGGTGGTGTATTTGCCACAAAAAAACAAACAAAAAAACCCCAAACAAATGTAAAAACAAAAATGGAAGGAGTGGCGGATAGGATTTAGGAATGGCGGCCCGCCACTCCTAAATGAATGTAGAGGAAACACTGGTCAAGCTTTCTTAAAAGCCAATATAAGACTATCATTATTCCTAGAGGTTCATTTCATTCTAATTCTAAAGCTTAAAAATTACAATCACAGTCGCTGACCATAAGCAACACCTATGACTACTGACCAGGTTGGTGGAGAGGTTCACAAAGTCTGCATAGTCTTTGTTGATGAGCTCCACCATGGCCGTTTTCAGGAGCTTGTAGTAGAGCTCCAGGTCCTCTCTCATCTCCTCCAGCTGGACCTGTTTCCGACACTCAGCCACGAACTGGTCGACGTCAAAGTCATCCTGCAGATGCACACATTTTTTCTTTCGTATTACAAATTCTTTGGTTGTTAAGTACTATTTTCAACTTGATATTCACGACAATAAAGTTTACTGAATTGTGCTGAACTGAGAGAACGAGAGATAGAACAGTCCAACATACACTGATACATGTGCAGACAAGCTGTATATGAGACAGTAAGAGACTCATTTATAAAGTCTTTTGTTGATAATGATGTACAGCAGCCTCTCTGTGTTGGATATTAACAACGTTAGTTACGTTTGTGATTGCATGTTCAACGCTTTCTAGTGCTCACTGGAGGAAATATGTACATTTACTGACAAACAGCGATTTCAACTGACAAGAGTATCAGCATCAGCAACGATCTGTAGCTAGCCCAATGCTAACTAGAATGACAATACAAGCAAACGTCAGCTCTTTAACGTAACATTAGCAGGTTCTCACCCTCATAACAACGTCCTTGTCGAAGCACAGAGAATCTGGTCCCTTCGGTAGATTCATTTTGGACAATAAAACACAGCTAGTTAGAGCATTAACAAGAAAAAATAAGGCGACAAGCCTCGGGTTAGCTGCTGTCACCGAGCTTCCGCAAACATGGCAAGAGCACCAACGAAGAAGAGTAAGGATGCTTGTAATGAGTTCATTGGCACCACAGCGCCCTCCAGTGGCTTCAGACCACAGGGACGCTGTTGGCTGAGGCTTTACCGAGAGGCTTTATTCATACCCTTCAGTTAAATAAGAGGCAAAATTCACTATAGTCACTCAAATAAGTAGAAACTAAAAAAAGTAATAATAAATAAAAATTCTCTAAATTATTATTTAGTGAAATAAGGCATTGCTTTTGAATTGTGGTTGAGAAGAATAATTTTAAAAAACAAAAAACTGTCTTGGACAAATTAGAGCACTTTGCTGATGAGCAGTGGGCCAAATCGAAACACCTGTCAACAAGTGCAGAAGTCTGAGTGAGAGTTACAGAAAACACTTGATTGCAGTGATTGGCTCAAATGGTCATTCCACAAAATATTAGTTTGCGGGTCCCATCATGCTTGTTTGCTTGTTTTTGGTTTTGTTTTTTAATATTTCTGCTAAACCACAATTCAAAAGCAATGTCATGATTTTCATTAATTTTTTATTTGTTTTTACTTTTGACAATTTCAGTTTATTTCAGTGACAGCTGTTTTTTCCTTCTTTGATGGCAGGGTATGAATACATTTGAGGATGACCGTACAGTAGATACTTCATTTTTTTTTTAGTATTTTCAGCTTTGTTTTCTGCCTGGTAATCTACTTTTATTTTTTATTTTTTTTAGTGTTGTGATTTTTTAGGGCTGCGAGAAAACTCACCCGAGAAGTAATTCTAGTTGAAGCAAAAAATATTTCCAAATATAGATCAACAGAGTATAATCGCCATAAAGCATTGCTCAGAAGTTTTAGACATCTAGTAATAATGACAACAATAATAACTGTATTTATATGGAACCTTTTCAAATCTATGTTAGAAAGTACTGTACAGAAAATCGACTGAGACAAACAATGAAAGCCGATGAAACAAATAAACAAGATCTCAAAAAACACAACATAAACAAAATAAAATAGGTCAGTCAAGTAAAAAAAAAAGAAAAAAGTCAGGAAAGCATTTTTCTACAGAACATCTAAGACAACAGCTGCTGTCTTTTATTATAATATTGGCATTTGGAAATGTAACTTGACAAGTTTAAAGCCTGTATAGTGTATTTAAGGTAACTATAGCTGAGCATTTCACATATAAGAGAGTTAAACTGCCATAAATTTTAAGATGTACTACTTTACTTGATTATAAAACATATTAAGGCCGACACCCTACAGAGCCATGTAGGTCGCTGCCCAAAAATAGTTGTTGTTGTTTCCTGTAGTGAAGGGGATTTTTAAAAATGGTAACAAATTGAGAGCAGAAAGTGGGGCGACAACTGCATGAAAGGTGCAGCCAGTAGGAGGGTTATCTACATATGGTGAGTCAGAGTACAGACAGGCATCCTGTCCTTTTACATGTTTCTAAGTTTGTAGATTTCTTCTTCATTTAATGTTGACAAATAATTTCTTTACCAGAGTTACAAAGACAACCTGTGAGGCCGCTCCTGGTTACCGTGAGGTGACCTTTGAGTTTATAGGTGCAGGAACTGAATTCAAAACTAACATTTACCATAGTTAGAAATGTTTTTATCATGAACAACAACATACAGCAAGTTTCCACCATGTCCATTTTCTCAAACTACAAAAGAAATAAGACTTTAGGTGTTTAACTGACAATAAATGATTGTTTCGTTTCTTATCAACTTAATTTAATGAGTTGAGTGAGTTCATAGCTGTTCATTCATTCAACTCAGTATTTTAAGTCATCGTGGTTATAAGTTAAGTTATAAGAACTCATGTTTTCAACTTCTAAAGTGGTTTGAAAATGAAAATTTGACATTTTACATTCAGTTAATTAGAAAGGAGCCAAACTCAGATATTTTTACACTAAGTAAATTAGAAAAGATGATATGATTTGAGGGCTGCAAGGTGGATCGGTGGTTAGCATCGTTGCCTCACAACAAGAAAGTCACCGGTTCGCATCCTGCTGAGGACACCCGGGATCTTTCTTTGGAGTGTGGAGTCTGCATGTTCTTCCCGTACAGCGTGGGTTCTCTCCGGGTTCTCCAGCTTCCTCCCACACAGTCCAAGAACATGTTGAGGTTAATTGGTGATTCTAAATTGTCTGTAGGTGTGAATGTGAGTGTGCTTGGTTGTCTGTCTCTAAGTGCAGCCCTGTGATCGACTGGTGACCTGTCCAGGTGAACCTGCCTTCACCCTGAGTCATCTGGGATAGACTCCAGCCCCCCCGCGACCCTAGTGACTATATATGGATAATGATAATGGATGGATGGATATGATTTGACTGAATTTATTTATGAGGTGTTACAGTGCCATCTGGGGACTTTATCAAAAATGTTATGTCTAAGGACTTCACATTATTATTTTAGTTTTCGTGTTTTGATTTGTGCTTTTTATTAAACACTGACAAAACATGGGCCTCAGTTTACAGTTGAAACCAGACGTTTACATACACTAACTGTATAAAAAGACATATATCCTTTTTTTGTTCACTGTCTGACATTAAATGAGACTAAACTTTTCCTGTTTTGGGTCAGTTAGGATTACCTAAATTATTTATATTTGCTAAATGCCAAAATAATGAGAGAGATAATTTTTTTTTTTAGAGAATTTGTTTTTATACTTACTTCACAGTTAGAAGCTTGCATACATCTCCTTAGCATTTGGTGGCATTACCTTTAAACTGTATGACTTGGGTCAAACTTTTTGGGTTTCCTTCCACAAGCTTCTCACAATAGTTTGCTGGAATTTTGGTCCATTCCTCCTGAGAGAACTGGTGGAACTGAATCAGGTTTGTTGGCCGTCTTGCTCCGCACACCTTTTCAGCTCTGCCCACAAATTTTCTACAGGATTGAGATCAGAGCTTTCTGATGGCCACTCCAAAACATTGACTTTGTTGTTCTTAAGCCTCTTTCTAACTAATATGACAATATGCTTAGGGTCATTGTCCATTTGAAGACCCATTTGTGTCCAAGCTTTACCTTCCTGGCTGATGTCTTGAGATATTGCTTCAATATTTCCGATTATGTGTCTTTTTATACAGCGTATGTAAACTTCTGGTTTCAACTGTATCTATAGCATGGAATAGAAATACTATATTGAGCCAGAAGGGGGATAGGCTAAGTCACTTCTTAAAACACATTTTTATTGGAGAGCTATTCCTGATTTTACTTACGTTTTATGTTTCATAGCTTCTTGTTCTATTTGTGTGCTTTCTATTCTTATCCTACTCTGCGTGCTTATTTTTT